AAAGGGAGCCACAAAACGAGAGAGAGGCAGAGAGGGAGAGAGGAGGGCTGGGTGGCAGCTGTTGCATGAGGAGTTTATCTGATTAAATCTCCGGGCCCCATCTCCGGGCCCCTGCCCCTGCCATCAACCAACAACTATAACCCAACCCCCACAAATTCAAGTTCTCCTCTCACCACAATGTGCACGTTCAAAGACACCCTGGGACTCGCTCAACAGGACCAACATTCACTTGAAAATAAGCGAGCCTGATGTGCAAAGTTGCCCCTGTGTTATAAAGACACAATTTATCTTTCAGATAGAATCCCTATCGCTCTCTTCGTCACAGTCACCACTGCCTCTGTGTTCAAAGTGGCTCTGTGACTCACATAAGAAGAAGCACATTAAGTAGAACATATCCTGGATGTTCTAACTGATATCAGTCACTGTGTTGTTGTGTTAGACATCATTTATGTTATCTGGCAGCGGTGAGGGTCTCTCTGTTAGCCTCCCTCCACCCCCAATCTCTCATCCTGTCATTTCCTGGCTCGGTAGGGTATAACCAGCCAGTCAGCCAAAGCACTTAAATACACATCAATATCAGTAGCCTAGCCTACTCCCTCCTTGCCTTCTTTCTCCTCCACACCACCCATTTCCCTCCTCCCTCCCTCCTGTTCTCTCTCTCTTTGGCAACCACAAAGAACTCTATTCTCATGGGCATCACTGACCTCATTCATCTCCCTGTTTTCTCCCTCCTTTAAGACAGTAGATTTGCTCATAGCGTTTACTCGGCATGCTCTCCTCCTTTCCCTTTACATACATCCCTCCATTTTTTAACTCCTTTCATGTTCACATCCTCTTTTCTCTCTCTCCTCCGTCTATTGTCTCTGGCCAACCAAGGCCTGAGGGGAGTGATTGACAAGCAGGCAGGGTAAGAGAAGGGGAGAGCTGTGATAGCAGGAGATGAAAAGCAAGGCTGCCTGCTGGTGGACTGTCTGTCAGGTGGTTGAAATATATTTCATCAATAGACCTCCACCCCGTGGCTATGTTCTTGTACTGCACGACCCCTGCCTAGTCTTGTCAGACTTCTAAAGCCAGACTTTTTTAACTCATTGGCTGTGGGGAATGGGAACACACACACGCACACACACACATACAAAAAACACAGTTTTCAAACTGCAATAACCAGTCCCATATTCCCATGATTTTAAAAAGCTAAAGTCAAAGCATTGCATCATGTTGCACCAGAAATCTAGCCAGTATATGGTAATCTGAGTATTTACTCACAAATATGAAAGATAATGGTTAATAAACTACGGGAAATCAACTAGGCTTCAGTGCTGTAAACCTACTGCCTTCTATTCCCCTGCTAAATGGATAAACCAAACTGCTGGAGTCAGAAACAGATTATTCCCCACATAAAGCAGACAGTGTAACAATGAACTTAGTGTCACCCCATACATCTGCCCTGTAAAACCCTGTCTCCCTCAAGAGGTTTGGTCTGAAGTCAGCAAACTGTGTCTCAACCTCGCGTCGGGGAAGACTGTGGGGGTAAAAGAGCAGAGGTGTGTGTATTGAGATCTGGGGTGTATTTATTAGGCACTAAACGGAAGGAAACAGAATAAAACAGTGAGGGACTACCTAAACATTTCCAATCAGAAAGGCTCAATTTTGTTTTACATTGCAAAGCATTTTACTACAGTGTGCCATAATGAATAGGTCAGTGGAGGCTGGTGGGAGGAGCTATAGGAGGATGGGCTCATTGTAATGTCTGGAATGGTATGAAACCATTTATTCCATTCCAGCCATTACAATGAGCCCATCCTCCTATAGCTCCTCCCACCAGCCTCCTCTGGAATATGTTTACCCATGGTGGTGGTGGTGTTGGGAGGCCAGACAGCTGCAGCCTGTGGAGAGCTCCAAGGCCAGCTGTTCCGTCTCATTATGGGGGGGTCAAAAGGACACCACGGGAGGGGAGGGAAAAATAATCACTACATTTTTCATTCAGAGAGCATAAGAGCGTGGTGTGGCAGGACCAGCTAATGATGAGGAGAGAGCTCTTACATTCCCCATAGTCGCCTACGTGGGGAAGATTCTAATTGCGTGGCTCCGTCGCCCATTTTAATTGCCTAGGGTGAACTTGAGCATCCATCCTTTCTTTTATCAGCGCTATATTATCTGATATTGCCTACAAATTAATTATCTCATAACCAATTATTTCCGTAATCCCCAGGCATTATCCAACCATTTATAGATTTTTCCCCGTAACTTGTCACACTTAAAGCTGGAATACTTAGTTGCTAAATACATTTTTGGACTTATAAATTAATATATTTACACCAATTGATTCTTGAAGAATTTAGCTTATAAATGCCTCATGAGTTTAGTTCAACTGTTGTACCTCCTCAAAAACAGAAAATATAAGCTTGTTTTATTCCAATGTTTGTAAACAATATATACTATACAAAAATATAAACGCAACAATTTTAAAGATTTTACTGAGTTACAGTTCGTATAAGGAAATCAGTCAACCGAAATAAATTCATTAGGCCCTAATCTATGGATTTCACTTGACTGGGCAGGAGTGCAGCCATCGCACTCTAACGACTCCTTGTGGCGGGCCGGGCACCTGCAGGCTGACTTCGGTCGTCAGTTGAACGGTGTTTCCTCCGACACATCGGAGCAGCTGGCTTCCGGGTTAAGAAGCGCGGTTTGGCGGGTCATGTTTCAAAGGAAGCATGACTCAACCTTTGCCTCTCCCAAGCCCATTGGGGAGTTCAAGTGATGAGACAAGATCGTAATCACAAAATTGGGGAGAAAAATGGGGTAAAAAGATAAAGATTTAAGAAATAAATACTCCTCACCCCCCCCCTCAGACGATCCCGCAGGTGAAGAAGCTGGATGTGGAGGTCCTGGGCTGGCGTGGTTACACGTGGTCTGGGTTGTGAGGCCGGTTGGACATACTGCCAAATTCTCTCAAATGACATTGGAGGCAGCTTATGGTAGAGAAATAAACATTACATTCTCTGGCAACAGCTCTGGTGGACATTCCTGCAGTCAGCAATCCAAATTGCACGCTCCCTCAAAACTTGAGACATCTGTGGCATTGTGTTGTGTGACAACATTTTAAATAAAAGGCCACTTTAAAATCTGCTAATTTTAAAGTGGCCTTTTATTGTCCCCAGGATAAGGTGCACCTGTGATCATGATGTTTAATCAGCTTCTTGATATGCCACACCTGTCAGGTGGATGGATTTTCTTGGCAAAGGAGAAATGCTCACCAACAGGGATGTAAACAAATTTGTGCATAACGTTTGAGAGAAATAAGCTTTTTGTGCATTTGGAAAATGTCTGGGATTTTTTATTTCAGTTCATGAAACATGGAACGAAGACTTTACATGTTACATTTTTGTTCAGTGTAAATATAAACAAACACTGTATAGCCTCAAGACATGGTTAAAACGATCATTTTGATATCATGGATGTCAGTCCATGCATCCATATCTCGATCTATGAATTTGAGGGTGGTTAAACTTCTTCAGGCCCATCCTTCAGCTTTTACCAAATCAGAGGCGGGGTGACCGCTTTGTTATTGGTTCAATTAAGGATTCTAGCATTAAAATGAACCAAACAGTGGCACACAGTGCTGCAATATGATACATATACAAACCTTCACACACTTTACACACACAGCAGCAGGGTCAGAGGTCAACACGCATTTATTGATCAAAACTGTGAAGGTGAAAAATATATTGATCCGATGCACTGTTGACATAAACTTTGTAGGTGAGAGAGTTAGAGAGAATGAGAGAGAGTGTGTGTGAAGCTTGGATCACCACCAAAACACAAACGTACACAATAATAAAAGTCCAAGATATGGCACAGAGCAACAATGGAGAACTGGGGTCTGGGGCAGTACAGTATAGTATGTACTATGGCACAGGAGAATTACTGCGTGGTGGTGGATGATTAGTCCATGGCACATATACAGTGCATTCGGAAAGTATTCAGACCCCTTCCCCACATTTTGTTACGTCACAGCCTTATTCTAAAATTGATTAAATACAAATTTTCCTCATCGATCTACACGCAATATCCCATAATGACGAAGCGAAAACGGACTTTTAGACATTTTTGCAAATGTATTAACAATAAAAAACAGAAATACCTTATTTACATAAGTATTCAGACCCTTTGCTATGAGACCTGAAATCGAGCTCAGGTGCATCCTGTTTCCATTGATCATCCTTGAGATGTTTCTACAACTTGATTGGAGTCCACTTGTGGTAAATTCTATTGATTGGACAGGATTTGGAAAGGCACACACCTGTCTATATAAGGTCCCACAGTTGACAGTGAAGGTCAGACCAAAAACCAAGTCATGAGGTCGAAGGAATTGTCCATAGAGCTCCGAGACAGGATTGGGTCAAGGCACAGATCTGGGGAAGGGTACCAAAAAATGCTTACAGTGTACATGCAGAGTCTGTGTAAATACCAATGGCTCTAGGGCAGTGTTTGTTAGTGGAAAAGCATCTATGGTATTGTATAAGGGAAGACTGAAGACGGGAGATGTTCATTGGTTCAAAGGCAGTGAGTGTCTATGGTAGAGGCTGTATCTGTGGTACATCAGAGATACTGGTGCTAAGACTGGGGAGACAAATACTTCACTGTAGGGTGAATCATTTATACACTTTCTTTTATCAACAATAAATAGAGTGGGTGTAATACAGGGTGTATGTCACATACATAACTATGTGGGTACTTCAAAGGGCTTCAATTGGGGGAAAAGAAAAGCCTATTGCTATCTACATTATTACCTTTGAAATGTCTATGTGTATTTCATCTATGCTATGGGATAGGCTAGTGATATTTTTGTCCGTTATTGGGCCTTATATTTGGGGCAGTTCATGGGGCTATAGTTGGAGTATTTGGGGCAGTTGTTGGGGCTATAATTCTGGCTCTAGTTGGGGTATTTGGGTCAGTTCTTGGGGCTATATTTCTGGCTCTAGTTGGGGTATTTGGGGCTATAGCTGTGGAATGGGAGGAAGGTGAAGAGTGTCCAGTGCGCTATGGTAGAGCTCTCTCAGTGCTCTTAACAACTGCAGCCGACAGAACATCTGATTGAAGAGGTGAGGCAACGGCTCCTGTAGAGGGGGGTAGAGATGGGGTTAGAGAGAGACAGATTGAAAAAGAGGGGGCAGGGGTTATGGACTGAACTTGGTGTGAACTTTAATCAGTTGAAATCAAAATCATCTGTACTGTCTGTCAGTACACCATGTTTTCAGGCCTGGTATGGTCGGTGATAGGCTATTAACACAATGTGTCAAACATCGGGGGGCATCACACATGCAAACATATATTTAATTATACATACTGCGAGACCACATGCTGTAATTACACTAAGAGCAGTCTCCCATTAAACCTAACCTAATTTAACTACCCCCACCCTCAACACAGACGGACGGACGGACAGACAGGACAGACAATCATAGCGGCAAAATGAGGGAGTGCTCACCCCAAGGACGTGGACTCTGTTGTAATAGGAGCTAAAATCCTTACTGAGGGACACCAGGAACTTGCAGATCTGGGAGACACATTGCACACACATTAAACATACATTATATGAGCATTCATTTATCTATATCAACTGATATTTCATTGCACTTATATACATTTTTACATCTCACCTGTTCAGTCTTCAGGTTGACTCTGGCCCCTCCTCCATCACACTCCAACGTCTGTCCTGTTTGGTCGAGAAGCTCCGAGAATGGAATGAGGTAATTGAACAGAAGAAGCCACTCCCCCTATGAAACAGGAAGAGACACCATGACTGTCGAGAACAGCGATCTCTAGAGGACCAGAGTAAAAATGAAACACATCTAGGCCCATATTCACAAAGCACCTCAGAGTAGAAGTGCTAGGAAGAATCCAGGATCAGGCCCCCCCCCCATCCCACAGGAGGTTGGTGGCACCTTAATTGGGAGAACGGGCTTGTGGTAATGACTGGAGCGGAATTAGTGGAATGTATCAAATACATCAAACTCATGGTTTCCAGGTGTTTGATGCCATTCCATTCGCTCCGGATATTATTGTGAGCTGTTCTCCCATCAGCAGCCCCCTGTGCCCCATCCATATAATGACCTAACAGACTAAACTGATCCTTGATCAGCACACCTACTCTGAGACACTTTGTGAATACAGGCCCTGTAGCTCGTGCTGTGGAGGAGTCATTTAACCAACGATAGGCCTACCTCTTCTTTTAGAGCTGAGAAGTCCAACTGGGAGCCCTCTGGGATTTCAGGGTAAAGTCCTGTAGGATGCAAATAAGTAGGAACTGATCATGCAGCATGACAATAAAGACAGAGTACAACATAGGATGTACATGTTTGCTTGGTGTGGTCTGGACTAGTACGCGTATAGAACATGGCAGTGTAGAGGCGGCAGGTAGCCTAGCGGTTAAGAGCTTTGGGCCAGTAACCGAAAGGTCGCTGGGTCGAATCCCCGAGCCGACTTGGTGAAAAATCTGTCGATGCACCCTTCAGCAAGGCACTTAACCCTAATTGCTCCTATAAGTCACTCTGGATAAGAGCGTATGACAAATGTATATACAACTGTGTGGTTCAGATGGCACAGTTGGATGAGGAAGCTCTGGTTTGACTACAACATAGGCCACATACTGTAGTGTGTATGTGGCGTGGGTCACTTTGGATAATGGTGCGTTCAAAACAACTGGGAGCTCGGAAAAATACAAGGTCAAATCATGACGTCAGTGATCTTCAGGTCGGAGCTCTAGAAAGAGGCCCGTTTTCCGAGTTGGATGACCGTTCAAATACATTTTTCTCAGTTGGAGCTAATTTATTTCACAGTTCCCAGTTGTTTTGAACGCACTGAGGTCAGAAGTCGGATATTTCCCAGTTGTTTTGAACACGGCATTATCAAGTCAGTCACGTCTGCTTAATGACATCATCATATCCATCATCATCCTGTTGCCTTGCGTGTCCCCCGTCTCACCTTTCTCCACACCTCGCTCGTAGCTGTCAAATAGGGTGTGCAGCCGAGCACAGTTGTACATGACGAAGACTCCGCCTCTGGGACCCTTGGTGGACACGCTGCCTTCCCTCAGCACGTCCAGAGTGACCTGTGTGTGAAAACAGCTATCAGTCTGCCAGTCAGCTCTGACTCAACACAACACCAGCCAGACACAAACCCCCTGGAGAGCAAGGTAGGCCAGCACTCTACAGAGCTATACCAGTTCATATACAGTATGTTGCCTTAGAAATAATAAGGTTCATGAAATCAACATCTTACTGAGATAAGATAACATTCATATATTAGCAATTTCTGAGACTCACTTAGATAATTCATTTGATGATACAGCAGTAACAATACAAGGATATAACATATATAGAAGAGACAGGAATGCTTATGGGGGAGGTGTTGCTTGCTATATACAGTGGGGGAAAAAAGTATTTAGTCAGCCACCAATTGTGCAAGTTCTCCCACTTAAAAAGATGAGAGAGGCCTGTAATTTTCATCATAGGTACACGTCAACTATGACAGACAAAATTAGAATTTATTTTCCAGAAAATCACAGTAGGATTTTTTATGATTTTATTTGCAAATTATGGTGGAAAATAAGTATTTGGTCAATAACGAAAGTTTCTCAATACTTTGTTATATACCCTTTGTTGGCAATGACACAGGTCAAACGTTTTCTGTAAGTCTTCACAAGGTTTTCACACACTGTTGCTGGTATTTTGGCCCATTCCTCCATGCAGATCTCCTCTAGAGCAGTGATGTTTTGGGGCTGTCGCTGGGACAACACGGACTTTCAACTCCCTCCAAAGATTTTCTATGGGGTTGAGATCTGGAGACTGGCTAGGCCACTCCAGGACCTTGAAATGCTTCTTACGAAGCCACTCCTTCGTTGCCCGGGCGGTGTGTTTGGGATCATTGTCATGCTGAAAGACCCAGCCACGTTTCATCTTCAATGCCCTTGCTGATGGAAGGAGGTTTTCACTCAAAATCTCACGATACATGGCCCCATTCATTCTTTCCTTTACACGGATCAGTCGTCCTGGTCCTTTTGCAGAAAAACAGCCCCAAAGCATGATGTTTCCACCCCATGCTTCACAGTAGGTATGGTGTTCTTTGGATGCAACTCAGCATTCTTTGTCCTCCAAACACGACAAGTTGAGTTTTTACCAAAAAGTTCTATTTTGGTTTCATCTGACCATATGACATTCTCCTAATCCTCTTCTGGATCATCCAAATGCACTCTAGCAAACTTCAGACGGGCCTGGACATGTACTGGCTTAAGCAGGGGAACACGTCTGGCACTGCAGGATTTGAGTCCCTGGCGGCGTAGTGTGTTACTGATGGTAGGCTTTGTTACTTTGGTCCCAGCTCTCTGCAGATCATTCACTAGGTCCCCCCGTGTGGTTCTGGGATTTTTACTCACCGTTCTTGTGATCATTTTGACCCCACAGGGTGAGATCTTGCGTGGAGCCCCAGATCGAGGGAGATTATCAGTGGTCTTGTATGTCTTCCATTTCCTAATAATTGCTCCCACAGTTGATTTCTTCAAACCAAGCTGCTTACCTATTGCAGATTCAGTCTTCCCAGCCTGGTGCAGGTCTACAATTTTGTTTCTGGTGTCCTTTGACAGCTCTTTGGTCTTGGCCATAGTGGAGTTTGGAGTGTGACTGTTTGAGGTTGTGGACAGGTGTCTTTTATACTGATAACAAGTTCAAACAGGTGCCATTAATACAGGTAACGAGTGGAGGTCAGAGGAGCCTCTTAAAGAAGAAGTTACAGGTCTGTGAGAGCCAGAAATCTTGCTTGTTTGTAGGTGACCAAATACTTATTTTCCACCATAATTTGCAAATAAATTCATTAAAAATCCTACAATGTGATTTTCTGGAGAAAAAAAATCTCAATTTGTCTGTCATAGTTGACGTGTACCTACAGTGAGGGAAAAAAAGTATTTGATCCCCTGCTGATTTTGTACGTTTGCCCACTGACAAAGACATGATCAGTCTATAATTTTAATGGTAGGTTTATTTGAACAGTGAGAGACAGAATAACAACAAAAAAATCCAGAAAAACGCATGTCAAAAATGTTATAAATTGATTTGCATTTTAATGAGGGAAATAAGTATTTGACCCCTCTGCAAAACATGACTTAGTACTAGGTGGCAAAACCTTTGTTGGCAATCACAGAGGTCAGATGTTTCTTGTAGTTGGCCACCAGGTTTGCACACATCTCAGGAGGGATTTTGTTCCACTCCTCTTTGCAGATCTACTCCAAGTCATAAAGGTTTCGAGGCTGACGTTTGGCAACTCGAACCTTCAGCTCCCTCCACAGATTTTCTATGGGATTAAGGTCTGGAGACTGGCTAGACCACTCCAGGACCTTAATGTGCTTCTTCTTGAGCCACTCCTTTGTTGCCTTGGCCGTGTGTTTTGGGTCATTGTCATGCTGGAATACCCATCCACAACCCATTTTCAATGCCCTGGCTGAGGGAAGGAGGTTCTCACCCAAGATTTGACGGGACATGGCCCCGTCCATCGTCCCTTTGATGCGGTGAAGTTGTCCTGTCCCCTTAGCAGAAAAGCACCCCCAAAGCATAATGTTTCCACCTCCATGTTTGACGGTGGGGATGGTGTTCTTGGGGTCATAGGCAGCATTCCTCCTCCTCCAAACACGGCGAGTTGAGTTGATGCCAAAGAGCTCGATTTTGGTCTCATCTGACCACAACACTTTCACCCAGTTCTCCTCTGAATCATTCAGATGTTAATTGGCAAACTTCAGACGGGCCTGTATATGTGCTTTCTTGAGCAGGGGGACCTTGCGGGCGCTGCAGGATTTCAGTCCTTCACGGCGTAGTGTGTTACCAATTGTTTTCTTGGTGACTATGGTCCAGGCTGACAAGATCCTCCTGTGTAGTTCTGTGCTGATTCCTCACCATTCTCATGATCATTGCAACGCCACAAGGTGAGATCTTGCATGGAGCCCCAGGCCGAGGGAGATTGACAGTTATTTTGTTTCTTCCATTTGCGAATAATCGCACCAACTGTTGTCACCTTCTCACCAAGCTGCTTGGCGATGGTCTTGTAGCCCATTCCAGCCTTGTGTAGGTCTACAATCTTGTCCCTGACATACTTGGAGATCTCTTTGGTCTTGGCCAAGGTGGAGAGTTTGGAATCTGATTGATTGATTTCTTCTGCGGAGAGGTGTCTTTTATACAGGTAACAAGCAGAGATTAGGAGCACTCCCTTTAAGAGTGTGCTCCTAATCTCAGCTCGTTACCTGTATAAAAGAAACCTGGGAGCCAGAAATCTTTCTGATTGAGAAGGGGTCAAATACTTATTTCCCTCATTAAAATGCAAATCAATTTATAACATTTTTGACATGCGTTCTTCTGGATTTTTTTGTTGTTATTCTCTCTCACTGTTCAAATAAATATACCATTAAAATTATAGACTGATCATGTCTTTGTCAGTGGGCAAACGTACAAAATCAGCAGGGGATCAAATACTTTTTTCCCTCACTGTATGATGAAAATTACAGGCCTCTCATCTTTTTAAGTGGGAGAACATGCACAATTGGTGGCTGACTAAATACTGTATATTATATATATATATATATATATATATATATATATATATATATATATATATATATATATATATATATATATATATATATACACACATACATACACACACACACACAAACAGTGGGGAGAACAAGTATTTGATACACTGCCGATTTTGCAGGTTTTCCTACTTACAAAGCATGTAGAGGTCTGTCATTTTTATCATAGGTACACTTCAACTGTGAGAGACGGAATCTAAAACAAAAATCCAGAAAATCACATTGTATGATTTTTAAGTAATTCATTTGCATTTTATTGCATGACATAAGTATTTGATCACCTACCAACCAGTAAGAATTCCAGCTTTCACAGACCTGTTAGTTTTTCTTTAAGAAGCCCTCCTGTTCTCCACTCATTACCTGTATTAACTGCACCTGTTTGAACTCGTTACCTGTATAAAAGACACCTGTCCACACACTCAATCAAACAGACTCCAACCTCTCCACAAAGGCCAAGACCAGAGAGCTGTGTAAGGACATCAGGGATAAAATTGTAGACCTGCACAAGGCTGGGATGGGCTACAGGACAATAGGCAAGCAGCTTGGTGAGAAGGCAACAACTGTTGGCGCAATTATTAGAAAATGGAAGAAGTTCAAGATGACGGTCATTCACCCTCGGTCTGGGGCTCCATGCAAGATCTCACCTCGTGGGGCATCAATGATCATGAGGAAGGTGAGGGATCTGCCCAAAACTACACGGCAGGACCTGGTCAATGACCTGAAGAGAGCTGGGACCACAGTCTCAAAGAAAACCATTAGTAACACACTACGCCATCATGGAATAAAATCCTGCAGCGCAAGCAAGGTCCCCCTGCTCAAGTCAGCGCATGTCCAGGCCCGTCTGAAGTTTGCCAATGACCATCTGGATGATCCAGAGGAGGAATGGGAGAAGGTCATGTGGTCTGATGAGACAAAAATATAAACTTTTTGGTCTAAACTCCACTCGCCGTGTTTGGAGGAAGAAGAAGGATGAGTACAACCCCAAATAACACCATCCCAACCGTGAAGCGTGGAGGTGGAAACATCATTCTTTGGGGATGCTTTTCTGCAAAGGGGACAGGACGACTGCACCGTATTGAGGGGAGGATGGATGGGGCCATGTATCGCGAGATCTTGGCCAACAACCTCCTTCCCTCAGTAAGAGCATTGAAGATGGGTCGTGGCTGGGTCTTCCAGCATGACAACGACCCGAAACACACAGCCAGGGCAACTAAGGAGTGGCTCCGTAAGAAGCATCTCAAGGTCCTGGAGTGGCCTAGCCAGTCTCCAGACCTGAACCCAATAGAAAATATTTGGAGGGAGCTGAAAGTCCGTATTGTCCAGCGACAGCCCCGAAACCTGAAGGATCTGGAGAAGGTCTGTATGGAGGAGTGGCCCAAAATCCCTGCTGCAGTGTGTGCAAACCTGGTCAAGACCTACAGGAAACGTATGATCTCTGTAATTGCAAACAAAGGTTTCTGTACCAAATATTAAGTTCT